GTGCTGTGTAACGGTTATTTGGTATTTATATAAAAGGTCTCAAGTTTCCGTTAAAAAAAAAAGTTTTTTGTTGTTGAAGTTTTAGTGTTTGAGCTTAGTTTAGTTCTAGTGGCCATTTGAGACAGATATTTCTGTATCGACTCGGAAGAGTTTGTGAACCTAGATATTAATCGTATGTTTTTGTTATAAGTTACTAGTAGCTTATTTGTTTCGACTCTATAAAGAGTTTGTAAGTCTTATCTTTTGTAAGCCTTGTTGCTTTTGAAATCGTTTGTAACCGCACATCTAGTTCAGTAGTTGTGAATTGGAATTTTGAATTTACAACCTAAAGCTGAATTTCGACATACAACGTGTTTGAAGTGATTGTGTTTGAATTGGAGATAGTTCCTACGTGGATCTACCAAGAAAGAGTGATTTTTTTTGTAATGTATTTTTTGTAAATTATTGTATACAAGTTAATATTTGATTTTTTTATTTTTATAATATATTTTTAAAACTACAAAATTGCTGAGTTCTAATTTTTCGTTTCTACTGTATTATATAGTATTAGTACGGTATATGGGATCGTAACAAATAGCCCACTGTGTAGGTTTGAGCTAAGAAAACAGACAAAACAATTGCTGGCCCTTATTCAAGGTACGTAAATATGATTAATATCAATAAACGCAAACATTAAAAACATTCATAGAAATTACTCAAAATAAAATCTTAATTACTGAAAAATACAAACTATCTTATTTCTTAACATTTAGTTTTTGGAAGACTGAGTTTTTCTTATGTTTTTAAAGTACGTCGATATTTTCATAGATTTAATTTTATATTTTATCTGCTTCTTTATTTAATTTCGGTAGTACATATTGATGTACAGAAGACATATTAATAGTAGAAATAAATGTTTATATTCAATTAGACATTCAACGTTTCGCTTTACAACTTTTTCACGAGCGTTCACTAAAACACAAATCAAAACTGACTGTACAAAGCTTCAAAATGGTTTAAATAATAAATTATATTCGAATCTATAACGTGCATTTCCACAACGTGCTTTTGACATATTTAGTAATAAAGCTTATTGTTGAAAGAAACTATTGTTGAAATAATTAACTGTTACCTCTAGTAAACAAAACTTTTATCAATATTATAGAGTGAAATAACAAAAAGATAGGTTACAAAATAGCTAAGCACAAAAGGTACACAATGGGCTATCTAGCTTTAAGTCCGCAGACTTGCCGCTGTGACACTAGAGGGCATATTGTAACTGTCTTCAAATATTTGGATGTGTACTTTTTATACAGCCAAACAACGTATCTGATCTTGTAATAAGATTTACAGTATTACTTTGAAAGGTATAGTTTAATCCTGCAATTGTTTGTTAAAAATAAAATAGTTTGAAAATGTTCCTGGAAGTAAATCGAAACTATCGTTATACAAAAATATTGTCAGCTTTAATTCATAAAGTACATCTAGAGATTTTGCTTTTTTGTTTGTTTGCATTTAAGTTATCTATGCTGTGTCTACACTAGTATCAAAACTAGGTTCTGCAGCGTTAAACGTTACCACTGTCCCACCCAAGGACACATTTAAAGGAAATATTACACTTTTGATAGTAAATGGTGTTATACGATAAACTTATCGCTTGTTTTTGTAGAATATATAAATACAGTAAGTGAAAAAGGCAAAATTAAATTTTTCTAATAATCTCAATGTTTTCTTTGGAAGAACATGTTTTAATTTTGATAATATACCAATATTACGTGCAATTATACCCTTTATCATTGTGTTATAAGAATTCCACGTTATTGGTAAGGTTTTCATTATTATTATTCCCAGATAGTTTATTTCCTTGTTCTATTGCTTCAACCATTAATTTACAAGCTATATTAAGTTTTTATATAATTTGACGTGGTTTAATTTATACACACACATATATATATATATATGCCTAGAGAGATGTAAAATTCCAATACTTTGCTTTTTAATAAAGCATTGAAAATTAAAAACAAATTTTCATTTCGATATATATATGTGTATACTTAAAGATTTTTCAAATAAGACTAAAACCGCACATAAAAGCCAAACAAGTAAAACTAATGTACAAACGAATGTGTGATAAGGAAATTGTGTACTTTAGTGAGAGAGTTATATCAAGAAGCAGGATCCAAGTAAAGAAAATGATAAACTGTCAATCAGATATAACCTTATTTAGCTGTCTAAGTATTTGGAAAAAAGTAAAAAGGAAGGTAAGATTAATTGAATCTGATGACTTAATATATAGCACAAAGTGATTTTTTTCATTAATATTTCTTTATTTTTGTAATTTAAACTACAAAATTCTAGCATGACATAATATCGAAAGCTTGTAATATTTTTCTACTTCCTTAATATATGATCAAGTAAAAGTTTTCGTTGATAGCTGGAGTAACATGACGGATAACACATGGAAAGTGACAAATAAAAACAACTGAATACACGTTTAAACGTTAGTTATAAGACTAGTCTATCTTACAAGATTCATGCGTTGTTAAAATAAGAGTTTTGTGCAAAAATGAAAATACACGACTATAGGGTGAATTAGACACTGCTACTTATAAAAAGAAAAAAAAAAGATAAAATATGATAAAAGTGAAATCATAATGAATAAAAATGCCTTTTTTTTTAAGATAGAACCCTGAATCCTAACAAAACAACGAGTGAAATTTCCAAATGCTTAGATCATCATTTGTTAATATCAAGGGAACGAAAGGCTTAACTTAAAGCACTAGAGATGATAAAATTATCTTGTAGAAGTCACACTTAATTTTCTATATATAAAAATAAATAAGTAGTTTAAATAAATAGTTTTCAAGAATATGAAGTATTATATCATCTACGTTCTTAGCTTTGTCAATTTGATCATCCAAACTGTTTATGCCTTTTGTAGTGATTTTTAAATATTTTTCAAAGCATTCAGCGAGGTGTGTCATATCTGCGTTTTATTCGCAAAACACTAATGTGTCTAATTCTACATAATATTTCTAGGGTACTAATAACAGTGCATATTGCACATGAAACAATGTGAGACTCATAAAACTTCAATTATTCCATCGGAAATACTCGGGAGATCTTATAAAGCTTGCTAGGATATACCGCAGTTTTATTCAATTTCCCTTTTCTCATTTTCATAATTTCCTCACACGTTTCTTTTATTTCAAACAGAATTGTTCAATTCATTTATATTTATATATAGTTGCATGGAAGTTTAAGAAATAAGATTGTCATTTTTGAGAGTTAAATTTCTTAATTTAAGCTTTTTATTGCTCATCATCATTGCAAATGTTTCGTCATCATTATATATATACATACATAAGTAAATTTAATTTAGGAAAATTTAATCATACCAGAACAAAAAAGAAAAAAAAAAAACATCCATAATCCTCGTTGGAAATAGCAAAAAATTTAATTGTTTAATGTAAGAAATGATTTTTTAAAAATTTGAAACACATAGTATTTCAAATAATTTATTTCTCAATGAGTTATATTTGATATCTACTGATATTGGCTATTCATGTTTACCAATTCTAGGGACGTCAAAATAAAAACAAATTTTATTCATTTGAATATTAATGTGTAACAGACCACTTTCAGTTGGTTTACACCATATTTGTAAAGTGACATATCTAACTAACTATATTTACTTGAACATTTATGTGATCATTTTTAATGAGGTCATACATTCCACAGTCACTCAGAATAAAGGTTTTAATCGACTGGCAGCGTTCTTATTTTCGTTCTATGTCTGAGTACGGAATTAAGTAAGAAAGTGGAAGTTATAGTAATGTGGCTTCACAAGGAAGTGCAAGTAATAGTAATGTGGTTTCACAAAGAAGTGCAGGTAATAGTAATTTGGCTTCGTAAGGAAGTACAAGTAATAGTACTGTGGTTTCACAAGGAAGTGGGAGAAATAGTAACGTAGTTTCATAAGGAAGTGGAATTAATAGTAACATGGCTTCATAAGGGAGTGGAAGTAATTGTACTGTGGTTTCACAAGGAAGTGGAAGAAATAGTAACGTAGTTTCATAAGGAAGTGGAATTAATAGTAACGTGGCTTCACAAGGGAGCGGAAGTAACTGTAATGTGGCTTCGCTAGGAAGTCGAAGAAATTGTAATGTGGCTTCACTTTGAGTAGTGGAAATCCATTTGTTTAATTTTCCAAACACAGGTGCGATGTAACAGTTATCAATTTAGCATAATGTAAAAACAATAAATAATTTGAAGATAACAGCTACAAAATAAAAAAAATTATTTAATTGTAATAATAAACAACTTTAAATGTGGGAAATGCGAAAGTTGCTAACTTCTAGTCTTCTGTTTCATATTTATGTTTATTATTTACAAATCAGGTGTTCAGAGGTGGAACATTATGCATACACAGCAGCTCTAAAGTCAGGCAACCAAAGTGCGTAGTACTTTATAATTATTCAAATATAAACTATGCTGTATTTTACTTCACAAATAAAGTCCTCCGATGGCTTAGGGTTAATGTCAAGGATAATTAACGCTAAAACTGGGGTTCGATCCCATAGTGCAGATAGTCCATTGTAATTTTCCTTGCGATAAAATAAACTTTAAATATAAGTACTATTACATTATTATTTTAACATATTTTATCATGTTTTGAAGAGCTAAAACTAACAGACTATAGGATTTATGACGCTTTAATTATTGGTCATATAATGTATGTAAATGAAAAGTAAGAATATCCTTCACACTAGTATGAACAAGGATAACACAGCTAAATAATAATATTTGTTGTTTGAAGTTAAGCACAAAGCTACACAATGGGCTATCTGTGCTCTGCCCACCACGGGTATCGAAACCCGGTTTCTAGCGTTGCAAGTCCGCAGACATACCGCTGTACTACTAGGGGGCAAATAATAATATACAATCGCTATCCCACTGTGATTTTCTTCTGTTGTGGTGTTTGGAAGAGGTAGGTAACACCAGAGAAAGCTGAGTATTTCCTAGTCCCTTATTCCAATCACCTCATTGATGTTCTCTTTTTGTTTGGCCTGGTTGAAGATTTTGAATGCGAGAGATTTTGCGGAATTTTCACCCCCTTGACGTCCATAGTTAATCGCAAAGTTGAATAATAAAAATACCAAAGGATTTGTTGACGAATTAGACACTGCTTGTGCAGCAAGAATAGAGTACGTCATAGCGTCGACGTTTAAATATTGCCCGTAAACCCTCCAAATCTCTATGATGCAATACGGAGAACTGCATACAAAAAACAAAGTAACAATCACAAAAGTCGTCTTTAGAGTTTTGGATTTAGCTCTTGGTAAATATGCCATTGGAGTCTGGCGGAGAATAAGTTTGCGATCTTTTCCAGGTTTATCCTTTGATTCTGATGTTTGGTTTTCGTTTGCTCTTTGTGAAACCTTCTGGAATATCCGGACATAGCAAATACTGATAATAAGAAGAGGTAAAGCATAAACTACAACAATCATAACCGTCAAATAAAGTCTCAAGTGAATAGGAGGAGAATCGTAAAGTATGTTCCGGCATACATTTCGGCCTTGATATTTTATCCGGCGGAAAAGTACTAAGTTTGATGTGTTGGCTACTCCTCCAGCTAAAACCCAACTCCTCACAATCAGATAAGAAGCCTGTAACAAACAAGAAATATATAAAGTTAATAATTTTGTTAGAAAAATTAAAACTACATTTACTGTATGGGTAGCAAGATCAAGTTTCCAATAATTTTAATTTAAATTCTCGTATGAGTTGTAATCTTTTCAAACTCTTAAATATTTAAAACTTTTGTTCAACAAAATTGGATACCCATTCACATTTATATTTAATACACTTTTTAAAATCGTTTTAAGACATTCTAAATGTTTTAAGTTTAATACTTTGGAGTTCAAAGACATGTACAATCTACAACTTATAGTTAAACTGAAAAGTTTAACGCTTTATTTAACATATTTACTACAAAGGTATAAACCGATGCAGAAACATACTAATTTAGTACTTATTTTGAATGTGTAGTAAAATACACATCTTGATTAATCTTTGGTGGTCCACTGACTTAAAACGTAGTATTGTCTTTATTGAAACAATTTATATTATATTATAAGTGCTGCTCATTCTTAAAATTTATATGTTTTTGCGTTGAATACAGGCAACATAAATAAATGTTTTTGTAACTTTCGGTGGATCTGTCTGTTTGTTATTAAGCACAAAACAACACAGTTGGCTATTTCTGCTGTGTCCACCACTGGTATCGAAACCCGGTTTATAGCAATATAAGCTTTCGGACTTACCGCTGATTCACTAACATATGTATAACGTCTTCAATATATTACAAAGAAAGAAATCCGACACATTTAGGTTTATAAGGTAATTACAAAGAAAACCACATATATAAAAATATTATATCTTAAAAACTATTTGTCTTAAGGAAACTATATTTCACCAGAGACACATGAAGATTAATATTTTCATTCAGGAAACACGCACATGATACTTCATATGTTGTCTCAGAAGGAGGTCAATATTATTTTTAGTATTCACAACCAACACGTCAAACCTGTTTTTGAATGAAGTTATGTCAAATATATCCTTTTCTGGTTAGTCTTCATTGATCCTCTCAAACATCACTACACACTGACACACATTTCATTCAAACTATCAATCTTGTACATTTGAAAATATTAGAGAATAAAAGCAGATCTAGTTTTCGACAAAAGCAACCTAGGTATACGGTATGATATGGATGTAAAAGACCAAGGTTTTAGTTTAAAAAATCGAGGATTATTAATGGGCTTCTGGTGAATTTATTTCATAGGACAATTTATACTTTTAAAATATATTGTTTTTAAACTCGGGCTGTATTTTAACACTTTATGTTATTTTTTATTAGAATGGGTTTACATTTTAAGATAATATCAACTCCTTTTTGTATTTGGGCGCGCCCCCCCCCCCAATGGTACAGCGGTATGTCTGCGTACTTACAACGCTAGAAATCGGGTTTCGATACCCGTGGTGGGCAGAGCACAGATAGCCCATTATGTAGTTTTGTACTTAATTACAAACAAACAAACTGGTCAATCGTGGTCGACTGGGTAGCGTGTTTGGACTGCGAGTACGAAAACGCACACGCCTTCAGTGGCACAGCGGTATGTTGGAGACGATCTGATCAAGGTGTTTAAGGATGGTGATGGAATTGATAGTGTTCATACGTCATCTTTTATGGTATTTAAAAATGAGAATAATAAAACTAGAGGACGCAAGTATAACTTTTGGCAGGGTAGGAGTCATCCTCAGCTAATACAGGTGGTTGGTCCTTTGAATGAGTTGGCTTCATATGTAATAGATCCAGTTAATTTACGGGATTTTAAGAGAAGGCTTAACAAATATATGAATAATAAGGGCTGGTTTTAAGCGTCTTATTTTTATTTTAGAGTTTATAAAGTAGAAAGAACGGTCTAGATGGACCAACAAGACCTTTTTTGTCGTTAAATTATTTGTTATGTGTTGTTTCTAACCTGAAGGGTATGACGTGAGGGGTTACTACTTAATATGTAATTACTATGTTTTTTAAGCCACACGTCATTATTGTCTTTTTGAACATTACATACCTAGTTCGGTGTAACAAAGTTAAAGAATATAATTGTAACAGAAGTAAATTAATTTTATATGTATATGTACTTAATTACTCTCAAAACTTTGTTAAAACACACACACAACAACATGACATTTTTAAGTATTTCTTTAAAATAATTTTGAACTAGAAGAAAATACGTATTAGTGTTCTGAAAGTACAAGAATACCATATAAACTTCTTACTTAGCTATATGAATTCTGGTTTTGTTTAAGAATGCACGAGGTAATATATAGTATTATTTATTCCCCTACCTTTTAATAGATAAAATAATGTTGTGAACTAGAAGTGAGTGGCATAGATCTAAATTTAGGATATTATTTTTTAACAAACGCTTGTAATATGGTTCAACATTCCATGAACCCCATACTCGCTACGTCTTGAAACTCAACTAATAAAAAACACAAAACACTTGAGTTGTTATTAATAGTGCTTGGAGACGGCTTGAATGGGTAATAAAGAAAAACTTTAATATAAGTTTAACATAACAGCATATGTACAACGTCTCGACAAGGTTTTGTCATCATCAGGTACAAGTAGTTTACTACTGACACGGATATATATATATATATATACAGTATGGAACAAAGAGGTCATATGACCAGATACTGTTGTAAGACTTAGAAGAGATATCTTGGCACCCCAGGGTGTTAGTTTAGAGTAGGGTTGTTTTGTTCAATTAAGATGGATTCTTTGGTTTTTCGTTTGTTTATCTTTGGTTTTTTGTTTAAAATTACTGTGTTTTTAATAGATATACTATTGAGTTGCAATGGTGGAAAACGTGGGACGGGTTCCTCGTCATCAAATTTGAGTTGTTATTATTTGATTGTATTCTCTACATCTAAGTGATTCGAGACTAATCAGCTCATTATAATGATATTAATTAAACCTCTCAGTAAGATTTTGATTTTTTGTATAAATGGCCTAGGATACATGATAAATGTTTTATTCATGTTTGGAAATTTTTCTCGCTCACGGTTTATGAAGTTTGCATATAGGACATATACGTCCCAACAGCCATTGTTGGTGGTTTACAGTAGCTATTTATGAAAACATGTTATATATATATATATATATATATATATAATAATTATAGAGATAGAACTAACGACAACTAACACTACTTAGTTAGGGTTACGGTAGGTACAGTACCTTACGTACGGTACTACTAA